CAGAGACAAAGTCCACCAGCTCCGGTAGGGAAATGGCTGGGTCGTGGGGAGCACGGTAGCCCAGCAAGATCCCAATACCATCCCTGGCCCCAATCAACACGTGGAAAGCCTCAAGACCCGGTTTTACCATTGAGGAGCACCCAGCAACCTCCAGGTTGGATTTATAGACAATGGCAACTCCCCCCCCGACCCTCCAGTCTACCCTGGTGTTGGACAGCATAACCGGGCGGACAGATGATTGCTAGGGCCCCCCCCCCTCCGCCAATCAGTGTTTCGGTTATGCATGCCAGGTCTGCATCCTGTTCCAAGATAAGATTGTAAATTACTTGGGCCTTATTGGATACAGACCTGGCATTCAACAACACCAGGCGCAGGCATCTCAGCAAAGACTTTCATTGCTAAGGCAAAAGTCTGTGAGGAAGGCCTGTTCTTATATAGCCCAGTCCTCAGATTCCCCAGGTGGCCCTCCTGAGGAGCTGGGCAACAGCTGCAGGGAAAGGGCCCAGTCCTGCAATCCTTACAGCAATTCTCATCAGAGGGATGGGGTCGATCCTGCCTGCACTAAGGTTGCTGGGTTCCAGCAAGGCCCCAGTCCTGACACCTACGGGGTTTTGTTACTTGAACGTTCTTTTTTTTTTTTTTTTTTTTTTTGGTGATTAGCTCAGTGGCTAAATGTACAGTATTACTTCTATACCTCTCTGTGCTTTATTGCATGGAGTCTAGCCTTGCACCATTATACAAATCATCTCATCAAAGGTTTTCTTTATGTTTTATAACAAACACACAAAACTTTATAGTAGATAGTGGCAGTAGAATAAACCATGGGATTTAGAATTTGTATAGCAATACCTGTGTACTGTTCCTGTTGGCATTCGATTTGACTGTTCACACAGGTACATTGTTCCACTCTTCCTAGGAAGATCCTTGCCCAGCTTTCTCCAGTCTCAAAATATTCATAGAGTGTTCCATCAAAACATTTTGCTGTTAAAATAAAAAGACATAAGATTGTCTTTTTCCCTCATTCTGTTATAAAACAAACTAATGCTGGCTGGGAAGGTTTTTATAAAGAGTATTAGGCCTGGTCACATTTAGTACAGGCTTCTATTTACTGTTAATTTGTTTTCATTTTTACTCAGATAACCATATCATCTGTTCTTAACTCAGAGTATTTGTCATACTTAAAGGGTTTTAGTTCCTGTCCCAATACCTAGATCTGTGCAATGCTGTTAGCATTGTAAGTCTGTGAGGGAAAGAGCCTGGCAGTGGCCTATCAAAGCCATTTCTGACTCACTTCGATTCATGCAAGAAGGGAAAGCACTGTAAATGTACATTGACATGAAATACTCAGTAGAAACAGCACTTACCCACTTCACAGTTTTTGCCCATGAATTCTTCAGGACAAATGCAATGGTAGGAACATTGACTGCATTCAGTAAAACATGTACCTCCATTTCTGCAAGGCTGACTTCTGCAATTATCTGAAAAATACATAGAACAAATAATTCTGTCCTTCGTGATCAAATTCCAACAGTGCCTTTTGATAATGACCCGATGACCAAGACTACATTTCCATGAGACCTGCTGGAGGTTAACAGAATTCTGGACATAGATTAGAGGCTTTTCTCTTTCTTGAGAATGTTAGTGCAGTTGAAGTATCTGGATTTGGATATGAGATTCAGGATCTTCTAAGACTTATACTGAAGAACTGGAAAGGTTCAGAAACACGAGCTTGGTTTAAAAATTCCCCAGATTATTCCCCTTCACTGACTTAGATCAAGAACTCTTTCCCTTCCACAACCCAACCCCCAGACCCACAAGACCTCCTCCTCTTGAAACCACCACCACCACCAGGTCAAATTGTCATGTTCTGCTTCTGTGGCCATTACTATTTTGACAAAGGAATTTGGGGCTTGGTTTATTTAAGTGAAAATGATGGGCTTTGGAGACATCAGGAAGCGGATTGAATTTGAATTTGGCTAGGTCGTGAGCTGAGTGAGAAAAAATTGCTTTTTAGATTCCTAATAAGTCCAGCATAACGAAGGAAAAGACAAACATCACTGTCATGATTCTCCCATGTCCCCTATTTACTATTGTCAAACAAAGGCTCATGTCGCGTTCTCTCTTCGCTGCCCACCAGTGGATTACTTCAATTCACAGTATAAATGACGTACAGTATGTCTGAACACTTGTCGTGTGAACAAAACAGAACTTATTTATTGAAGTGAAACAGAATGAATAATAACAGAACTCCTTAAAGTATTCAGTGTATATAAACATTTCATCATCAGTTACCTCAGTACATAGTTTTCTCAGCTTACAATCTCATTACCACCCTCTGCTTATCTCCCTAACCAGCCCTATCTGACTCCTCTGTCTCCAGCCAAGCATCATGTAGCTGGTGATTCCGCCTCTACAGCCATCTCGTTGTTGTTGATTAGTCATTAAGTTATGTCGGACTCTTCGTGACCCCATGGACCAGAGCACACCATGCCCTCCCGTCTTCCACTGCCTCCCGGAGTTGGGTCAAATTCATGTTCAGTGACACTGTCCATCCATCTCGTCCTCTGTCGTCCCCTTCTCCTCTTGCCTTCACACTTTCCCAACATCAGTGTCTTTTCCGGGGTGCATTCTCTTCTCATGAGATGGCCAAAGTATTGGAGCCTCAGCTTCAGGATCTGTCCTTCCAGTGAGCACTCAGGGTTGATTTCTTTCAAAATGGATAGGTTTGCTCTCTTTACAGTCAGGCAACTCTCAAGAGTCTCCTGCAGCATCACAATTCAAGAGTGTCAGTTCTCCGGCGGTCAGTTTTCTTTATAGTCTAGCTCTCATTTCCATACACATAGCTTTGACTATGCGGACCTTTGTCAGCAAGGTAAAGTCTCTGCTTTTTAAGATGTCGTCTAGGTTTGTCATTGGTTTCCTCCCAAGAAGCAGGTGTCTTTTAATTTCGGGGCTGCTGTCACCATCTGCAGTGATCACGGAGCCCAAGGAACTAAAATCTCTCCCTGCCTCCATATCTTCCTCTTCTATTTCCCAGGAGGTGATGGGACCAGTGACCATGATCTTAGTTTTTTTGATGTCTAGCTTCAGACCATTTTTGCACTCTCCTCTTTCACCCTCATTACAAGGTTCTTTAATTTCTCCTCACTTTCTGCCATCAGAGTGGTATCATCTGAATATCTGAGGTTGTTGATATTTCTCCCGGCAATCTTAATTCTGGTTTGGGATTCCTCCAGTGGAGCCTTTCGCATGATGTAATCTGCATATAAATTAAATAAGCAGGGAGACTATATACAACCTTGTCATACTCCTTTCCCAATTTTGAACCAATCAGTTGTTCCATATCCAGTTCTAACTGTTGTTTCCTGTCCTTCATATAGCTTCATATAGCTTTCTCAGGAGATAGATA